AGCTGCTAGCTTTAGCTCTCTGCTGAAGTCTACCTGGCTGGTATATGTCTGGTTTATGCGCACACGTTTTTTTGTTTTTCTTTTGTGCCTGTGTGTGAATGTAGTGTGTTATTTCCTCACTTCACCTTTGACCTCATTCTTTTTTTTTTATTGAAACTAATACACGTCAGCACAGAAATGCCACACAGATATCCCTCCTATTCCTCTTCCTCTCATTCTCTTCTTTCGCTTTCTTCTCAAGGATAGAAGGAGAAGACAGCTTAAGATCTCTGAAACATCCACAGAGGCTAGGTGAATATTTTTGGATTAAACTGAATGCAACAAAGCAATTCGGTGTCTTGACAGGTAACATTTTGTTAATAAGCAGTGAAATAAGGCAAATATAGTTAGCACTATGAATATGCTTCACAACAATGCATGCTCTGTTGACAGTAATTAGTTTAACTGACTTTAGAGTGACTGTTCTTAACAAGTCTGCTAAGCATGTGCTGACACGCACACGGTAGCCTCATTGGTTAAATAGTCATTTGCTTGTGTAAAAAGGTAAAGCGTTAGGTGCTTTGATAGCAAGATGTTGTAGAACTCCTCCAATAGTCACTGCTTTATTTATTAAAGCAAATATATCTACTTATTGCTTTTCATTTCTTTCTATTGTTTTACACCCAACAGCAGAGTATGTCATTGTGGCAGATAAGTACAATTTGCTCAGTGTTTCGGGTTGTGTTTCTCACTCATTAACCAACAAATGGATTTATGAAGACATAAGTGGCCAGATCTGATAGTTGGATTTGTTCTGGCGTTTGGGGTTAAATCAGATTCCCTCGGGGATAGTGTCACAGTTTATTTAGCACCGGAGTCTGACAGCTTGTTGGGTGAGAGTGTGAGAATATGGGCGTGTAAGTGTTTACTAAATCATGATCTGTCTTTGCATGACAGTGTTCCTGTCCTTGTCAAAGCGCAAATGTAGAGCAGCTTAGGCTCTTTGTAATGTTTTCAGGAGACAAATCCTTTAGCTTTCCCCAGTGACAGTAAATAGGACGTTCTCTGGACAGAGTGACAATAACGACTGCGATTCCCTTTCCTTCCTCCGAGACTGTCATTTGTAATGAAGTAAAGTCCTCGCAGTTGTAACAGTTAACCAGATATTTTGTGCATCCACAGAGCCACTCTTTGTCAACTCTGAATTGAGATTCCTGATTACAAAACAGGTTAGAGCTGTGGCTCCTCAGATACTGTCTTCAGAAGACGGTCTCACTTGCTCACAAATATTGATTGAACTATCAGAGATCATAGACATACCCTATGTGGGTTCTATTTCAGGGTGAAAACTTTAATGTTTTCCAGGGTTGAACCTGCCACTAGTTGCCAGGCATAACCAGAGGGAGAAAGACGGCATGAAGAGAGCAGGAGAGATAATTCAAGAGTCAGATGAAAGTAGATAGATGATGGAGTGTAGATACTGGTACAGACATTTTTTCCCCCTTACCCCCTCCCTCCTCCACTCACTCTCCCTCCCACTCTTATTCCCTCAGTTCTTTGCCTAATAAGCAGCGTTCCTGTGAGCTGATGCAAGGCGGAGGAAACAGAACAGGCGTTCTGGGAGTGCAGGAAATATTCCCACATGAGGCATAACATGATAAAGACTTATTATCTCACTAAGCTGCTGTAAACACAGATGCACACATAAATACACGCCGTACACAAATCTCTCCCCCGTCTCGCACAAACACACATGCATTCGCAGAAAGTGAAACCGGTCCGGTTTTACAAAGTTCCTGATGAGCAGTGACCAGGAGGAATCTGACAGAGCAAATACCACAGACAAAGCCTGGGAGTCAGCCGCGGTGAGCCAGCTTACTGGGCATTTGGCTCGGCTTGTTTGAACTTCACACACCCAGAGCAATGGGAGGAAACAGAGTGAGAGTTTTTTGTTCTGATCATTATTATTAATGCTGTGTTTTTGGGAACATCTGAACAAGCTACAGTACGTGTTGCAACAAGACTCGTCCCAACGCCTCTCGGCTCATCAATCTCACCAGACGCACACATAAACACATGCACCAAGCGTTCGCAGTGAGCTAATCCATTACAGTACAAAGGTAGGTGTCAGCCTCTTAGACAAACACACACAAACACTCACGTATACGCCAGAGTCATCAGAAACATGTTGAGTCCCATTACCCTCCTTCTCTTCTCCATCCCAATTAAAAGGCAAAAGAGGCCTTTTATTTCCCTCTCTTCCAAACACATTCTTTATCTCTCTGATCTGCACTCCGCCCTCCCTTGCTCAGTCCCCTCGGGGTAGTGGGAATGTCTCTCCCCACACACTCTCAGGTCAGGGGTTCAGCAAGAGAGGGTCTGAGCATGTAGCGAGATTGAGAGAGCAAGAAAGAGGCGCAGATTGAGAGCGGGGTAGCGGGCTGAGGCAGGCCTTTGCACGGGCAGCTCCTCTTCGCTGCCAGAAACACTTAAATGTAAAAATCGTGTGTGTCTGTGTGTGTGTGTATCATAACCCTAATCAAAGACTTCAGGGTAGATTTATGCCCCTGCCTTTTTCCCGACCTCCATTACACCAACTTATATACACCCATTACAGGATATGACAGAGTACACACCCTTTAGATGGGCATACCACCACACTGGCCTGTGTGTGTGTGTGTGTGTGTGTGTGTGTGTGTGTGTGTGTGTGTGTGTGTGTGTGTGTGTGTGTGTGTGTGTAAAAGACAAGGCATGTGCTTGCAGCTTTAAACACTTCCCACTTTCCCATTAGGTCCTTGTCCACCTGCAAGCTCCATCTCTCTGTCTGTCTTTATCTCTCTTCCCCTCATTGCTAATAAGGTCAATGAGAAAGAGTAAAAAGCAGATGGGTCTACAGTACATTACGGCATGGCACAATATAGTGTGGGATAGATAGCAGACCGGTGATTCATGCTTAGTGAAATGTGTGATGATGTGAGGAGTTTTCTACCGCAGTGCAAAGTCAGTGGACTGTGCGGCGAGATGTGTTGATCACTCAGCACTATGCCTTGCTTCATAATATTACCTCAGGGAGTAGTTTGACCTAGCAGGGGTCTGGATGAAGGCGGGAGGAGATGAGGGTTGGGGTGGGGGTGGGACAATGAAAAAGAGAGCGAGAGAGCGCACTGAGGAGAGGAGTGAGGTTGGAGATTAAGTGACTAGCTTTAAATGTCACAATAACGCTCTACTTCTCACTCTTAACTTCACAGGCGGATGGGTGCCAGGAGGGAGACAGGGGAGAGTTAATGGGGAGGAAAAATACTGCAGTGTGATTTGTGGCTCTCGAATGGCGCTGCTTGTTAGGGAAGAGTCTCGAACTGGTGAAATATGTCAGTAAGCACCTTGTACTTTTAAAGGTTTAGCTCGCAATATTTTAAAAAATAATAATCCGTATGGCAAAAAATGGTCTCGCCACAGTGGCCAAACAGTAGCTCGTCTGGGACTGAAACCGGAGAGAGGTTTTCATATAAACGAACACATTCTGAATCCTTCTCATAGAATTCCTCGATGATCCACGTTCGCCCGGTGCGCTTAAGTGGCACTGATAGCTTGCATGGATTTATATCCACGTTCTAAGGCCTTGAGACGCTTGCCTCCAATACTTTTGATTCTATCCCCAGAAAAAAAAGTGATATAGAGTGGAACTGACACAAAAGAGCGGAAAATTTATATCCGGGTTTTGTAAAACCTTTAAAAGTGGAACCAGACTATCAGCAGGGCTGAAGACCTCATCAATGAGAAAACCTGTTTTGTTTTGTTTTTTTGTTTTTGTTTTTATGGGAGGGGGGAGTATGATTTGAGAGAACTGACCATTTAACAAGCCCATCCACCTGCACACACTTGTAACCTCCCCCTACATGCACACAAACATGCTAAGGTCCCTATCCCCCAGCAAACATTTGGCAGCATTCCATTAACAAAGCCACCAGCGATTTCTCACCCTCACCTGCTGTCAGAGAGAAAAAAAATATGCACACACACACTCATGTTCACCTACTCTTGCCTCAGAGGAAAAGAAAAGTTAGATTCTCCCATGAAATAGCTTTTATTGTTTCCCCAGAAGGCATGGGTTGTACGCCTCTGAAACAACACACACATGCGTTACATGCGCGCACACAGACGCAGACGGCAGGTAGAATGCCTCGATGGCGTTTTGTGTACCCACTCCGGAATGCTGAAGTAAAAGCAAAGAGAACTTTCCCCTTTTAAAGTGTGCACTTGCATGTTTGTGTGTGTCTGTGTGTGTTAATTTCTAAAACTGGATGAGGCAGAAAGACGAGATTGAGCTTGTCATTAGGAGTTCACAGCCTGCGTGCTTGTGTGAAGGTTTGTTTTGTTTTGTATTAGCTGAGCTTGTGTGTGTTCGGCGCACGCAGAGTGTGTGTCTCTGTGTCTCCTCTCTCCCACGCTCGAGCTCCTAACGATGGCAAATGCGCCTGTGTGTTTGCGAGGCGTTGTTTCTCAAAAACAACAACACATCCAGGAACGGCTCGTTTTGTCGGGTTTTGTGGAAGGAACACGCTCTAATTAGAGAGGCCCTCTGAAGGTGCATCAAACAGATCTTTCTCAAAGAGCAACCAGCTCATGTCTCACACACAGCGCACACATGCCACCTCTGATTATTGGAGAAATGTGTGTTATTTAACTATATAGCAGAGTATTAACAGACTTGTCAGTTTAGATTTGCTGCACATGTGATCCTAATCCATTGTGTATGCTCAGAGACACACACATTTACATGGAGACACACACACAAAAAAGTGTCTGCTTTAGGTGTTGCTTTGTGGCCTTTTGGGCAGGTTTGTGCATGACCGCGAGCCCTTTTTAGAAAGGAAAGTGTATATGCACGTATACGCACACTGTTCTCTCTCTCTCTCCTTCAGCATAACTTTAGTTTCCCAACTTGATCCGTTCTATCAGATAAGAGCTGAAACTGCCCAGGTCAGTTTTGTTCAACCTGTGACACGCCCTTCTGTCCTCAGGTGCCAGTGATGATGGTGGAATCAGCCTCTGAGACCATTCGTACGACGCCGTCCAACCAGAACGGAGTCAGCAGCCTCAGTAGCCAGTCGGATGGAGGGGGCGGTAGAGAGGGTGGGTCCAACGGAGACACCAATGGAGAGATCAGCCCAGTTGACTTACTCCACCTGCAACAGCAACAGGTGTGTGCTTTAGTGTTGCATATATGTGTGCGCATGTTGTTTTTAGGCCTTTGTGGGGTCTCCCTATGGGTGTAATGCATGCTTTTTGCACTGTGTTTCCACCTGTCTGTATGTACTCATGAGACTTGTTTTGCAACCCTTGTGCAACTCGTGATTGTATATATGGCACATCGTATGGAGCAGCATGTACACGTGAGGTCATTGCATAACGTACAGATGTGACAGCACTCGAGTGGCCACACAGTAATAGTTAGCTTTGTGTGTGCGAACAGTGAAAAGCTCTGACAGGTTGGCTGGTCGTTGCTTTAATTAGCCACTCTTCGTAATGTGCCAAATAATTCCACTGGGACACAGTTCCCCGCATTAATTCCTACTCGTGAGATTCCCAGTGATGGATATTTACACAGTCCTCACAATCCTGAAGAAGAAAACAGGGAAGAATGAGCTATTGTAGGTAAGCTCTGTGTGTGTGTGTACATTTCAGATTCTTATTTTTATGACACACTCCATATAGCACTCGGATGTGTGTCCATAACGTCTGGAGTTATGCTATTCTTCTTCTGTCTTTCTCACTCTCTCTCTCTCTCACACACAGACACACACACACACACACACACACACTGGCCACTGCGTCAAATGGAATTTCCAAACTTTTCCCGGAACTTCTTGGATGAAAATTTTATTTCTCATTCCCCTCAGAACTCTCTACTGATTACTGTCTGAAGGACCCTGGACCTTTACACGTACTACAAACTTACACACACACACACACACAGAATTTCACAACTTTTTTTTCATATAAAGGTCTCTACACTAGTCATTTGTCCGTAAATACACAAAAATGTCCGCCATGCTGTCGTCTAATGATCTAATGGTGGAAACTTAGTGATTCACGTTTTTCAGTAAATGTTGAGGCGTTTTCTTTATTGAGTAGATTAATAGATAGAACACATTTTTGTCCTCCTGTTTATTTTTTTTTATGCATGCTTTGTATGTTTGCCCGTCACAGAGGGTCAGTGTGGGTTTCTGGGTTCTTTCTAGTGAGGAAACCCAGGGGGGGCAAAAAAATCAGGGTTTCCTCCCTGCTGCTAAAATTATTCCCCCCTAATTATAATGATGGAGCCTTAGGTGAATGAAGAACACTCGAAGCCCTTCACTCCTGTCCTGCCCTCCCTCCTCCTTCCCATGACTGCATCCTCACCCTGCTTCCTCAGCAACCTTCAGCCGAGGACACACACACACACAGAGACACACACTGCCACGCACAAATGCACACATTTAAACACCAAACCTGTAGCTCATACAAAGCAGGTCTTTATTCTCTTGGACGTGTCTATGCTCTCTATGTTTTTGCACCTGTGTGTGTGTGTATATAGGTGTGTGTATGTGTGCGTGAACCCTGGTATTTCCTCTCTCGAGCGGGTTACCAACCACAAACATAGCTCCCTCTCTCTTTCCATCTTTTTCTCTTCCTCTCTTTTGCTGTACTAACCCCCCACCCCCCCACCCCAGCCACTATGGACCATGAAAGACAAGCACAACCTTTCCTCCAGATCCCAACGCTCACCTCACAAAAATGTTACATCCACATATGTGACTGTAAATTTGCATTGTGGTAGTTCTTTATGAACAGCTTTTTTTTTTTAGTTTAACTCGATTCTCGCGAAGTTGACTTGTTAAGAGTTAAAGGTGTGGTCTTCCTGTGCTGTACATGTTTGTGTTTTTTTCGTCTGGAACCATTGTGTTCTTTTTTACTTGATTTATGGGTGTTTCACAGCAATGCATTTTGGATTGTGACGCGTAGTTTTTGCATACATGCGATTATGTTGAGGACTCTTAAACATGTGTCTGCTTAAAATGCTATTAGAATCACCTGTACCGTGTCTTTTCACTGACTTAAGATTCACGCGTACATTTACAAGCTTGCGTGCCACCTTCAGCCCTTCGAAATATCACAAGCCTTTGTTTCCCCACACACCTCCCAAACTCTCCGCTCTCGTTGCCTCACTCCCTGGATAAGATTAAAGCACCTTGGAGTGTTTATTTCTTTGATAGGAGCTGAGTTTTTTAAGTTTATCTTTTATCTTTCATCTGTTTTATTTTTTAAACTTTGTTATTATTAATATTTTATCCATGTTTAAATGAAAGATCTTAGAAAATATTAAAATATACTATATGTAGTTTAAATGCAGCAGGAGTTAAGATGTTATTTTTGTTGTTGTATCCTAACTTTTATTAAGAGTGAATTTTGTTATTTAACCTCCTAGGACCTGCCGTCTACATATGCGGACATCACATTTTGGGGCATTTAGACCAAAATACTCAATTTTGCTCTACATGGGCCTGATATCCACTTACGAGGACATTATACTGCTACTGTTCTATCAAAATTTTAAATGAATATCCTCATATGTGGCTCTTATTTTTCTTAAAAACAAAAATAAGGTGAAAAAAATAATCTGGTAATTCTTTGTTTTTACATTCATCGGCCCCAAATATGCCCAAATATCAAAGAGAAATTAAAAATGCATGCCGTGGAAGAGTTTGGGTCTTAGGAGGTTAAAAGAGAACATTATACTTATTTTAAGACATTTTCATACGACTTTACTAAGTTTTATTAGATTTATTTATTTCATAGTCAGTCTTTAAAAACTAGAAGGAAAATGTCTTAGCTTTAGATTTCAATTTAGGATTTCTAACTTTTTAGTCTGTACTGGTCTTTTGATTTTCATCCTTTCATATTCAGACTTGATTGTAAAATAATGGTATATATATACATATATATACATGCATACATTTTTTTTTAACTTAAGACGCTACCTAAATCTCATGGACATACCTCCTGCTCCCTTTCCTCCTTTTATCTCCACGCTTGAGTCTCTCACCTGAAGCTATAGTGTAGACCAGCGTTGCCAATGCGCACTGGAGCAGAAAAGATATACACACTGACATACTGGGATCCTGACAGCTCAGTGTTGTCAGAACACAAAGCCATCTTTTCCTTGGGCCTCTTGGGAACCTGAGAGAAATCACAGCCATCTCCAGCCATCAAACCTCTAAACTGGCCTCTGTCTTTGGAGTCTAATTTTTTTATTTTTTATTTTTGTCTGTCATAGGTAGAGAAAATCAGAAAGATAGGAAAGTCAATGATGAGGGATAAACAGAGAAGAGAAATTGGAAGATGGGACTACCAGTCAGCAGGAATGAAGGTAAAAGGACGGGTGAAGAGGCAGCACTGGGACAGAGAAGGGGGGTGGGGTGGGGGTGGGGGGCATTTGTGGGCTGGAAAGAAGAAATAGAGGGATGAGGGAGGGGTGTAATGCTGAGACGTGTCAGAAAAGGGCGCCTGGGCCTCCCTGTGGAATGTGGCCTGTCTGCCTCCCCAGAAAGAACAGAGCAGGAAAGAGGGAAGAAAGTGAAAAGGGGGTGAAGACCAGTTTTGCCCCATCATCGTGGAGAGAGATGAAGGGAGGGCAAGGAGGGAAAACAATGAGCCGAGTTACAGAGCGAGAGGAGAGCGAGGTGGAAAAGTGAGAGTGCGGTGGAGAGTGTATGGCAGTTTGTTGAGGTGCCGGGTGTGGACGTGAAATGATGCATAGCAGAAGAGAAATGTAAGCAGGATAAATCCTAACAAACCTCAAAGTGTGTGTGTATGTGTGGCTGGGTGGAGGGTTCACTGACGAGAACCAGGTGTCTCCTATTCTCTCCTTCCGTTTAAGTCTCTCCTACCACCTTTTTCCTTGTCTTTGGCAGATTTTAAGTCTATGCTGTACGTTGCTGCCACCCCCTCTCTCTTCTCACCCATTTCTGTCTCTCTCTTCTCCCCCCCCCCCCCTCCCATTGCTGTCAATTAATCGCTTCTGGTGATGAGAGGAAGAGAGGAGAAGAAAGTAGGAAAGAGAGTGAGATGGTGACAAAAAGGTGCCATTTCCTCTTGGCAGGGCTACTCATCAGTTGCCTAAACCAGCCAGACAGGAGTTTTTCCCCTCTCTCTTGTGCTTAACTCACTCTTATGTGCAAATAGAAAGTGAGAAGCAGACTGTAGCAGTGGTCTCCATCCCCCAAGGGTTTAAAAGGAACATTGGTTGAGAAAAAGGCAGTTTTAGAAATTGGTTTGGAGCTTCGATCCCCACTCCCATTTGTCATGTTCTATTTTTTCCTCAGTGCTTCCCTCGTGTTGCGCACGTGTGCACGCTCGCACACACTCGGATACTAGCGATCTTTGTCACGCTCGCTTTTTCGTATACGCTCACACAGACACATATAGGAAGTTACACACGTGCACAGAGCTGATGTGAGTTAATGAAGGGTGTAATTAAGGAGCCGCAGTGATGACTGGAGATCAGGGGGAACCGATACAGATCTCAGATATACACAAACACTGATGAAAGATAGCTGTTTTGTGTGTGTGTGTGCATTGTGTGTGTGTGCACGTTCAAGAGTGAACATTTGGGTTTGATGCTGGGAGTGCTTTGCGGACAGATGTATGAGAATGCTGTGTGTGTGAGCATGTTAACAGATGATGAGAGATGCTGGATGATTCATATAACGTATGGCTTCCTGTTAGATTGGCTAGACTCGGTAATTATGGCCCGTATGAATGGAGGTGGGGAGGTTTTGAGCCATATGGGATTCGCTAGCTTTGGCTGAAAAGGCTTTGCTGAATTATGGAAGGTGAATGTTGGTCACTGGGACTGTTGTGTCTTGTTTGACCTCCAGCACTCAACAGAGTTCAATTTCAGGTCAGGAGTGCAGAGCAGATTGAGGTGAAGGGGTGACTTGAAAAGAGAAGGTAGATGGGAAAAGATCATTTCAGTTACTGTTTCTGGATTATTAGGAATAATCAAATTCAGCTCCTTTTTAGTGCATCTGCACAACAGTTTATATACCAATGCATTTTTCTTGCCTGTCTGCATGCATGCATGCATAAACCCATAACTGTTTGTCTGTCATGTGTTCTGGTCACTAAATCAGTCCCGCTCTTCTCCCTGAGTGCTGTC